TAAGTCAATCCTCCAAAATCAAAGGTCAAATGTTTTCTTTAATATGCAATTGTTAATTTACAATAAGCTGGTGGGGGGGCACTAGAGAAGAATAGAGTTACCTTCATTAGGTAGAGAGAAGTGAAGGGAGGTGAGGGGAGGGGATGTGGGGATGGGAAGGATAGTAGAATGAAACAGACATTATTACTTTATGTATATATGTGATTACATGACCAATATAACTCTACAACATGAACACTCAGAAAAATGAGAATTTATATCCCACCTATGTATGATATATCAAAGTACATAAGTGAATTCTACTGTCATGTATAACTAATTAAAACAAAAAACTTTTAAAATGCAAAAAAAAAGAACATCTTCACAAAACATTATAATTAAAATGTCTAGCCCACAGAATAAGGATAAAATTTTAAAAGCCTCAAGACAAAAATGCTATCACATTTACAGGAAGCCAATCAGAATCACTTGGGACTTCTCAGCACAAACCTACAAGCCAGGAGGGCTTCGAATGATTGTGTTCCAAGGCCTCTGAGAAAATAACTATTAACCTAGACTGCTATATCCAGAAAAGCTATCCTTCAAAGTTCACAATAAAATAAAACACTTCCAAAGTTAGCAAAAACTGAAAGAATTCATGACGACTAAATTGGCACTATAGATCTTGCTTAAAGAAATGCTCCACACAGAAGAAATTAACAAATAATAATAAAACCCAGAGCTCACAAATGAACAAATCTCATTGGAAGAATAGCTAAGCAAATGAGAAACAGTTCCAAATTAAACATGATAAATAAATCACAATGGCATGAAATAATACACATCTCTCTATAAAAACATTGAATGTGAATGGACTCAACTCTCCAATAAAAGAACATAGGCTGGCAGAATGGATTAAAAACAAGATGCAACTATATGTTGTTTGTAAGACGCATCTTATAGGCAAAGATAGCCCCATGCTAAAAGTGAAAGGATAGAAATTGATATACCATGCAAACAGAGCCCCCAAACTACCAAGAGTAGCTACTCTCAAATCTGAATAGGCAAACTTCAAACCAAAACTAATCAAAAGAGACAAGAATGTCACCTCATATTGGTAAAGGAAACAATCCAACAAGAAGATATAACAATAATGAATGTTTATGCCCCAAATGGGGGTACAACTATTTATATAAGAGACACTACTCAAATTAAAGCGTCAGGTAGATCCACATGCAGTAATATTGGATGATTTTAACACACCTCTCTCACAAATAGATAGCCCATCCAGACATAAACTCAGTAAAGATTCTGTGGTCCTGAAAAATATTATAAATCAAATGGACTTAACATGCATCTCTAGAATATTTCATCCAACAACAACTTAATACACATTCTTCTCAGCAGCCCATGAAACCTTCTCCAAAACAGACCATATTTTAAGACACAAACCAACTCTTAGCCAATACAAAAAAAGATATAATTCCTTGCATCTTATCAGAGTATAATTGACAAGACTAGAAATCAACACAAAACCCTACAGAAAATACATAACCACATGGAGACTGAACAGTACTCTTTTGAATGATGAATGGGTGACAGAAGAAATCAAGGGAGAAATTAAAAATTCTTAGACTCAAATGAGAATGAGAATACAGCATACCAGACAGTCCTAAGAAGAAAATTTATAGCTATGAGAAAATAAGAAAATCAGAAGGAAACCCAAGTAAACAAATAAATAATGCAATATCAAGGCCTCTAAAAATGAAGAAGAAAGCAATTACAAAACCAGTAAAAGGAAGGAAATAATTAAGAATTGAAATCAATAAATTTGAGAAGAAAAAAAATACAAAGTATCAATAGAACAAAGAGATTTTTTTTAAGATAAGCAAGATTGATAAACCCTTAGCAAACTAACCAAAAGAAAAAAGACAGGAAACAAAATTATTAAAATTAGAGATGAAAAAGGAGAAATCATCATACATCTCACAAACCCAGATCATTTCATGAAGCACTATTTTGGAAACTTACACTCCAATAAATTGGAACACCTAGAAGCAATGCATACATTTCTAGACAAACACGATCTGTGAAAACTGAATTGAGGCACAGAAAACCTAAACAGACCAATAACTTGTAATGAGATATAAGCAGTAGTAAAATAAATGCCTTCTAACAAAGAAAATCCTAGAACCAGATGGATTCTCAACTGAATTCTATCAGATCTTTAAAGAAGAACTAATGCCAATCCTCTTAAAATTATTCCATGAAATAGAAAGGGATGGAATGCTTCCAAAGCCATTCTATGATGACAATATCACATTCATACCAAAACCAGATAAGGACACTTTGAGAAAGAAAACTACAGACCAATATCCCTGATGTACTTAGATGAAAAATTACTTAATAAATATTAGCAAATCATGTTCAACAACATAATAAGATTGATTACCACAACCAAGTTCATTTCATTTCAGATATACAAGGATGGTTTAATATACACAGTTCAATAGATATAATTCATCACATAAATAGATTTCAGAACAAAAATCAGTTACTAATTTCAATAGATCTAGAGAAGGTCTTTGACAAAATTCATCACCCATTCATGAAAAAAACACTGAAGAATGCATGCAGAGAAGGAACCTATCTCAACATCATAAAGGCTATATATAAAAACCCCAAAGCCAACCTCATGGTAAATGGAGAAAAGCTGAGAGCATTTTCTTTAAAATCTGAAAGAAGCAAGGTTGTTCACCCTCATAACTCCTGTTTAATATAGTGCTAGACATTCTAGCCGGAGCAATTAGGCAAGAGAATGAAATAGAAGGAATAAAAAATAGGAAAGGAAGAAGTCAAATCTCTGTTTGCAGATGATATCATCCTACACTTAGAAGATACAAAAATCTGCTTGAGCTAATAAAGAAATTCAGGAAAGTAACAGGTTACAAAATCAACATAAAAAATTCAGTAGCTTTCCTATATGCTAACAATGGATCCACTGAGAAAAAAATTCAGAACCACAATCCCATTCACATAGCCTTAAAAAATACCCTGAAACAAACCTAACCAAGAAGGTAAAAGACCTCTGCAATGAAAATTATAGATCTTTGAAGAAGGCTCATATATATAGTCAGAATTAATACTGTTAAAATGGCAATAATACTAAGAGCAATATACAGATTCAGTGCACTCCTTGTCATTCTTCACAGAGCTAGAAAAAAAAAATAGTCCTAAAATTCATTTGGATTAATATAAGACCCAGAATAGCCAAAGCAATTTTAAGCCAGAAAAACAATGATGGGGTATTACAATACCTGACTTCAAATTATACTACAGAGCTATAGTAACAAAAAATGCATGGTACTAGCATTCCAACAGACCCATAGACCAATAGTACAGAATACAAGACACAGAGACAAACCCACACATCTACAATCATCTGATCCTTCACAAAGGTGCCAAAAACTTACACTGGAAAAAAGGTAGCTTTTTAAACAAATGTTGCTGGGAAAACTGGTTATCCATATGTAGAAGAATGAAACTAGACTCTTATCTTGCACCTTGAACAAAAATCAACTCAAAACGGATCAAATACCTAGAAATTAGATTAGAAACATTCAATTACTGGAAGAAAACATAGGGTCAACACTCAGCATATAGTCAGAGGCAATAACTTTCTCAATAGGAACCCTAAAGCTCAGGAGATAAAGCCAAGAGTCATTAAATGGAACAACATCTTAAAAAGCTTCTGCACAGCAAAGGAAATCATTAAGAACATGAAGAGAGGACCCACAGAATGTGAGAAAATCTTTGCGAGCTACTCTTCTATCAGAGGCTTAATATCTAGAATATATAAAGTACTCAAAAAACTTTACACAAGAAATGAAATAACCCAACAAATAAATGAGCAAATGAATTGAACGGATACTTCTCAAAAGAAGAAATACAAATGGCTAGTATTTACCATAACACCATTTGCAATTAGGGAAATGCAAATCGAAACTATACTGAGATTTCATCTCACACCACTCAGAATGGCAGCCATCAGGAATACAAAGAAGGGGCTGGAGTTGTGGCTCAGTGGTTGAGAGCCTCCTTAGCATGGGGGAGGCACTGGGTTAGCCTCAGGACCATGTAAAAATAAACAAAATAAAGGTATCGTGTCCATTTACAACTGAATTTTTTTTAAAAAAGAATACAAATAATAATAAATGCTGGATGTTCAGAATGTAGACAAAAAGGAACACTTTTACAACTGTTTGTGGGATTGTAAATTAGTACAGGCTCTTTGAAAAGAGAAGGAAATGGGACACAACGGGGAAGGCCATGTGAAGAACGAGGCAGAGATTGCAGTGAGGCATTGCAGTGAGGCATTGCAGTGAGGCAGCCAAAAGCTAAGGAATGCCAAGAGCCCCCAGAAGCTTGAAAAGACAAGAAAAGAAGCCTCCTGAGCCTCCAGAGGAAGCAATGACCTGCAGACACCTTGGCTTTGCACCCTGGCTCCCAAAATTGTGAGAATATAGCTCTGCTGTTGAAGCCACCTGTTTGTGGTAATTTTTGAGTCAGCTCTAGGAATCTGATACAGATGTTTGCAGCTGATAATAATCATACCTTGGACTGGGGCTGTAGCTCAGAGGCACAGCACTTGCCTGGCATGAGTGGGCCACTGGRTTCGAGCCTTAGCACCGCATCAAAATGAATAAATAAATAAATAAATGGCATTCTGTCCATCTACAACTACAAAAAATAAAAATAAGTAATCATACCTCTACCTCATAGGCTTGAAGTGAGATAGATTGGTTAATAATCCCCCAAGGATTATTGCTAGGGTTAAACTCACTTAACCTTCACCATCATCTTGTGAGGTAGATATACTATTATTTAAAGTGTTAAGAGTAGAATCAGGAATACAGTAGGAGCTCTTTAAGTATTGTTAGCTCACTGAGTCTTACATAGCAACCCAAAGCCGTAGATTCTATTATGGTTCTCTTCTTCCACATGAGGAAATATACACTTACCCAAGAGATAAGCTTGTTTGGACTCTGCTATAGCTGGAACCATTCCCCAGTTGGAGTGGGCTTTCTGCTGATGGATCCTGGCAACTATTAATTTGGTGACCTTTCCTGATAATGTCCCTTCGGGATTCATTCCCCAATAATGAACCACAAGAAACTTCAGAAGGTATTGAGATGATTGTCCCATGTGATGGTGTTTACTCCTCCTGGATGTGTCTCCCTGGCCCTGGTTTTAGCACAAACTCTGCTATGACAAAGCCAGACTCTGTCTACTGGCTGTGTGGTTATCCTATGACCTGAGCTCATTGGGACTAGCTCCAGCACCTCATCACCACAAGAAGCAGGGGTATGGTGCCCTACAAGGCTGTATTATCGCTCTCCAGTGACTTCAGTAGCCCATGGTGTGGTTACCTGTTCATCATTAAAGTGCTCAACATAGATTATACAAACTTCTCTAGAAAAAGTAATATCAATTAGAATAAGGCCGAGTCCGCTCTGGGGCTACCAGGGCCCTATGAGCAAGGCCCATTACCCTCTCACCATCATTCTCCCTCTCTTTACCCTTCTAGCCATACTGGCCTTCTACCCAGGCTCTGTCCTACCTCAGGGTCTTTGCATGTGCAATTCCAGTGCCCTTAAAATGCACTTACCTTAGAGGTGTAAATGCTTTCCTTTTACTCCTTTGACTCTTACTTAGGATCACCTTCTCAGAGGCCTTTTCCAATCACCCCATTCTTCTTTTCTCTTACTTAGCACTTATGATTATTAAGATACTATACATTTTCTCTATTTATCTTATTTATTGTGTTTCCCTCCAAACTAGAACATAAGCACCATGAATAGGGTGACATTTATCTGTTTTGTTCACTGCTGTGGCTCAGAGTCTAGGGAAGGTCTGATGCTTACTATAATACATTCAATAAATAATTGTTGAAAGAATAAATGAAGCTCAAGCCCCTCTTCAACAAGGATAGAACTCTTGAAGGGGTTCACATCATTAAATACTGAGAAGGAGCACATGAAGAGAGGACTACTGGGATAACTGAGCTTCATTTGAAGGGTATGGAGGGGTCTGGAACTCTTGAGCTTATGTTGAAGGAAATAAGAAGAAGGCTTGGTGGAGAATGAGGGGAATGGAATTCCAAGTGAAGGAAATATTACATTGAAAAAAAAAATCCCGAGAATCCAAAATGCATTCATTCAATATGGGATATGAGAAAGCCAGAAAAAAAAAAATCCCTGTCCTCGAGGAGCTTACATTCTGGTGGTCCTATGCCAGGCATTCTGATCATAGTCAAAAACAGAAAGCAACGTGAAGCCATCACAAGTTCTTGATCAGGAAGACCCTCGATTACACAAGATCTCTGCAGCCACATGAAGGATGGATTTGATAGGCAAGGGAAGTAAGAAGGGTGGGAGTGCCCAGAATGTTCCATAGTAGAGATCAGATATGTAGGGCTGATGGGAGTAAGGCAGATGGATAGATATCACTGTAGAAGGTGGGTCTGTCTAAAAGGCCTGTGATAAAGCAACTGAGAAAGGATCTTAAAGCCCCAGAATGTGAGGACAACATAAACATGTGCCCTCTAATGGAGAGGAAGGAAGGTGGCAGAGACCACTGGAGGACTTTGAGTCAGGGAGTTGGGGAAGGCAAGGCCATATTAGGACAGTTCCTTTGATCTTTGGCCTTGGTGTCATCACTGGGCTGTGCGACCACAGGAAGGACCATGGCCTTCTCTGGTCTTATTCGCCAGTGCTCATGCACATTTAYCATTTTATTCTCTATAGTCAGCRTGTGGCCCATGAGAAGTTGGAAACCATTTGAATCTAGTCAGTTGCACCGGATCTGTGGAGCCAAATTTTTCTTGTTTTTGTCTGAAATTTGCCACCTGTCAACATTCCAAAGCTGTTTATTAATGAAGAAGACAAGTTTTAAGATATTATATGTTTTGGTATCATAAAGATATTAAACATTTTGTGGTAAATTTTTAACTAAGGTCTATCCTTGTTTTTCATTATTTGTCACTTGTATTTTGATAGACCCATATGACCTATTAAACTGCCAGTTTGAGACTCTCCCCTCTCCTGTGCCTTATCTGATCAGTGACCTAGTTTTGTCCATTCTCCTTTTCATAACAATTTAACTCAGTCTTGACCCCTGTCACAATACAGGCAAATCTTTACCATACTTTTTGAATTGCTTGAATTATTTCTCAGTTACTTTTCACATTACTTATGGATAGGCTCTTTTTTTTTTTTTAAACATCTTTGGTGTTTTCAAATAGCCATCAAAAGACCAGACAGAAAAGTGAGGAAAGTCATTATTCTTATTAATATTTTCTCTTTTGATTTTGGTTTTAGATTGTAATTTAAAGAGCTTTTGCAGTAGAAATATCCTGATCATCCTTGGCTTCTCCTGTGTCATGTCCGTGACAGCTTTGATCGCTGTGGGGATTTCCCATAACAAATCATTGTCACATAATGTAAAGGCAAGTCAAATCTGTGTGGGGGGAGATGGAGAAGGGCCCTGAGTGGGGTGTGGAAGTGGGGTGTGAGGATAAATTAGAGCATACAGGAAGAACTGAGGATTCAGCATCCTGATTACAAGTCAGAATCCACTGGATTAGGGAAGTAATATGGAAACAGATGCTCATTCTTTAAGAGGAAATGCGTTGAATAAATTAGTGGTGGAAAGATAACTGCCTTTATGAATGTTCAACCATTCAGTAGGTCAGCGTTTCAACAGAGATGACTACTTCATTAAGCTCATCCACATCCACACCTTTGTTGTACCATGCTCATATCCTATGGTCTAGTACTACCTCTGTCTATTTTTTTTTTTTTTTGGTACCGGGGATTGAACACAGGGGGACTGAAGGACTAGGCCATATCTCCAGCCCTTTATATTTTTTGTTTTGAGACAGGGTCTCACTAAGTTGCTTAGGGCCTCGATAAGTTGCTGAGGCTAGCCTTGAACTTGTGATCCTCCTGCCTCAGCATCCTGAGACTCTGGAATTGCAAGTCTGGGCCATCAAATCAGCGACTAGCTCTACATTTCACATATTGTTTCATCTTGGGTGAATCACAACACTGCACTCTTCTTTATCAAATAAAAAAAATTATTAGCTCTGTAGAAAGTCAGAGACTGTAGAGATGTATTTCTTAACTTCAAAAATGTTACAGGGAGCCAGGTGTGGTGGTGCAYGCCTGTAATTCCAGTGGCTCAGGAGGCTGAGGCAGGAGAATCACGTGTTCAAAGCCAGCCTCAGAAATGGTGAGGTGCTTAGCAGCTCAGTGAGGCCCTGTCTCTAAATAAAATGTAAAATAGTGCTGGGGATAGGGCTCAGTGGCCGATTGCCCCTGGGTTCAATCCCTGGTACCCTCCCCTCCAAAAAACAAATGTTATATGAAGCAGGAAAATCAATTAAAAAAAAAAAAAGAGCCAGAGGATGGATGCATGTGTCAAGCAGGGTCATTTGAAATGAATTCTTGGGAAAATTTTCTGCATTTAAAGAGCTAGTTAATGCCATTAAAATCCTTAGGATTATTAATGTTCTGTGTTGCATTACTGCTTCCTTTTCAATTAATCAAAGTATAGTTTTGGATGTGAATATTTCACAAGTATGTTATAATCTGTTCATTAAAAACATGTACTAAATTTRTATCTATATTGGAAATAATACCACTTTAAACTTTCACTGAAGTGAGAGTAAACAAATCTATATAGGTCAGGCTGGTACAAACATGCTAACAAGCACACATGTGCACATGGGCAATGGCATATCCAGAGGTTGACTTAACTACAGAGGTCCTTGAACGTGTGTGCAGAAGTACATCCTCTGGTATTTAAGGTGATGACCTGTGAGGCTGGCTGGATGAATGCACATTCCAGGGTTCTGAAACTTATGCCTCCCACCCAAAGCTCTTGCGATAAAGAAGAGGAGTGGCTGTTACATTGGTGTCCTTTTGTCACACAAGTTTGCCCCAGTGAGGCTGAGTGCAGCAGCTGCTTTGTCTAGACAGAAGGCCGAGGCTGTCTCACTGTCCATGCTCTCTTGCCTTTTAATGTTGAGTGATGTTGGTTCTCTTGGCAAAACTTCACTCACAGTAGAAGGCTCATGACATCTTGGTTCTGCTATTTGTTTACCAGCTCCAAAAGAGCATGACTGCCTTCTTGATATGACCTTTTTGCATGTTCAGTGTTACATCACTGGAGAGAAGGACTGCCCAGAAGGCAAAATCCATGACAGACTCRGGYTCTGTGCKCCCAGTGAATACTTGTGGTCATGGATGACTTTCCTTCATTCACTCTGGTCTTCAAGTCCATTGTGCTTCTGTGTTGTTCTGTTGGCCTGGCAAATGGAACAAGGGCTTTGGCATTCTTTCAATCA